TGTAGCCGATTTTAGTTCCATGAATTTGGCTACACACACCGCTGACCTCGTCGAATGATCAAAGATGGCCGCCGCCACGTGTTCGGCAAACGAACAAAGACCTCCCAGCATTGTCAATTAAGCTGCGGTTAACCGCAGCTTCTGGGAGGTAAATTGCCCGCACACTTCCACTTCTGGGTGGTCTGCCTGTGTGGTACTTGGTTCAGTAAGCCCCATTTACTGAACCAAGTGGGAATTAGCCAGGCAGGCACAAAGGGTTTGCACCAGGTCTGGGGACACAGGGGACACCGTCTTAAAGGGGCAGTGTCCCCAACAAGTCTGGGGACACGGCCTTAAAGGGGCAGTGTCCCAATCTTCCTGATGTCCCAAAAAAGGTGTTTAAAGGGCCAGCACCAGTCACATAAAGAGTCCATAAGCCCCAATATGCCCACCGACAGTCTTAAAGGGCCATACACACCAAATAAAAGTGCATACATTTTCACAATCTCCCAGGGGCCATAGTCATGCGGGAGGAGGCTGGCAAATAGGCTTCTCCACAACCCAGGGAAGCAGGGCAATTTGCCATTTAAAGGGCCCGTTACAAATAGCAGTTTGTAACAAGGTGTCAATCCATATCTGCCAAGTGACCCGATGTAGGGGGAACAGTCCCTATTCTGCTCTGTGTCAGTGTGTATCATGGTCTCTGAGGACAGGTGTCAATCCATATCTGCCAAGTGACCCTATGTAGGAGGAACAGTCCCTATTCTGCTCTGTGTCAGTGTGTATCAGGGATCTCTGAGGACAGGTGTCAATCCATATCTGCCAAGTGACCCTATGTAGGGGAACAGTCCCTATTCTGCTCTGTGTCAGTGTGTATCAGGGATCCTGAGGACAGGTGTCAATCCATATCTGCCAAGTGACCCGATGTAGGGGGAACAGTCCCTATTCTGCTCTGTGTCAGTGTGTATCAGGGATCCTTAGGACAGGTGTCAATCCATATCTGCCAAGTGACCCTATGTAGGGGGACCAGTCTCCATTCTGCTCTGTGTCCGTGTGCATCAGGGGCTCTGAGGACAGGTGTCAATCCATATGTCAAGGTGTCAATATGTCAATCCATATTCATTGTGATTTAGGAATGTTAGGTGATTTCTGCCCTTTATGGATTAAAACCAGACTCTGTATCAACTGTGTAATTTTCCATGGGAGTTTTGCCATGGATCCCCCTCCGGCATGCCACAGTGCAGGTGTTAGTCCCCTTGAAACAACTTTTCCATCACTATTGTGGCCAGAAAGAGTCCCTGTGTGTTTTAAAATTCGCCTGCCGATTGAAGTCAATGGCGTTTCGGGCGGTTCCCCGGTACGCGAACATTTGCGGAAGTTCGCGTTCGCCATTCGCGAACCGAAAATTTCGGGTTCGCGACATCACTATCCTTCACTGTGTTAACCTCTACCTCTTCAGCTGGAAGGCTATTCAATGCATCCACTACCCTCTCAGTAAAGTAATACTTCCTGATACTATTTTTAAACCATTGCCCCTCTAATTTAAGACTATGTCCTCTTGTTGTGGTAGTTTTTCTTCTTTTAAATATGGTCTTCTCCTTTACTGTGTTGATTCCCTTTATGTATTTAAATGTTTCTATCATATCCCCCCGTCTCGTCTTTCCTCCAAGCTATACATGTTAAGATCCTTAACCTTTCCTGGTAAGTTTTATCCTGCAATCCATGAACCAGTTTAGTAGCCCTTCTCGGAACTCTCTCTAAAGTATCAATATCCTTCTGAAGATCCGGTCTCCAGTACTGCGTGCAATACTTCAAGTGAGGTCTCACCAGTGTTTTGTACAATGGCATGAGCACTTCCCTCTTTCTACTCCCCTATACAACCAAACATTCTGCTAGCATTTCCATAGTTTGTTGTCTGCCTACCTTTAAGTCATCAGAAATAATCACCCCTAAATCCCTTTCCTCAGATGTTGAAGTTAGGACTCTATCAAATATTCTGTACTCTGCCCTTGGGTTTTTACGTCCAAGATGCATTATCTTGAACTTATCCACATAAAATGTCATTTTCCACAACTCAAGTGTATATATTATCAATTTATTGATTTTGGAGTATATTTTTTTATAATCAATGAATTATGTCTATATAATATCAAAAGGAATTATTAAATGAAGTAATTAACTTTATCTAAAAAAAATTTGAGTGCGGTATCATTTTTTTGGTAAGTTGCCACAACTCTGACCATATTTCTAGTCTACCTAAATAATTTGCCATTTGGCTTATCCCTCCTGGAACATCAACCCTGTTACATATCTTAGTATCATCAGCACCTTACCATCAAGACCTTCTGCAATATGACTAATAAAAATATTAAAGAGAATGGGTCCAAGTACAGATCCCTGAGGTACCCCAAGCCCAAGCTTCGAATGTACTCCATTGACTACAACCCTCTGTTGCCTGTCACTCAGCCACTGCCTTACCCATTCAACAATATTGGAATCCAAATTTAAAGATTGCAATTTATTGATAAGCCTTCTATGTGCAACTGTGTCAAAAGCCTTACTGAAATCTAGGTAAGCAATGGCTACTGCACCACCCTGATCTATTATTTTAGTTACCCAATCAAAAAAATCAATAAGATTAGTTTGGCATGATCTCCCTGAAGTAAACCCATGTTGTCTCTGATCTTAAAATCCATGTATTTTTAGATGTTCAACAATCCTATCCTTTAACACTGTTTCCATTACTTTCCCCACTACTGAAGTAAGGCTTACTGACCTATAGTTTGTCCGACTCCTACTACCTTTCTTGTGAATGGGCACAACATTTGCTAACTTCCAATCTTCTAGGACTACTCCTGTTAAAAATTATTGGTTAAATAAATCTGTTAATGGTTTTGCTAGTACACCACTAAGCTATTTTAATAACTTTGGGTGTATTCCATCAGGTCCCATTGACTTATTTGTCTTTACTTTTGACAGTTGAAATAGAACCTCTTCCTCTGTAAACTCTCATGTAATAAATGACTAATCCCTTTCCTTCATTTTCATCTGTAAATACTGAACAAAAATATTCATTGAGGCAGTCAGCTAGACCTTTATCCTCTTCTATATACCTTCCTTCTTTTGTTTTTAATCTAACTAATCTTTTTTTTACTTTCCTTTTTTCATTTATGTATCTAAAAAATGTTTTGTCCCCTTTTTTTACTGGCTGTGCTATTTTCTCTTCTGTGTGTGATTTGGAAGCTCTTATAACTTGCTTAGCCTCTTTCTGCCTAATCTTATAGATCATTTTGTCTTCCTCACTCTGTTATTTTTTTTATAATTACTAAATGATAACTTTTAGTTTTTTACTATTTTGGCCACATCTGCAGAGTACCACAGTGGCTTTTTTTGCTTTTACTGACAAGCCTTTTCTGTTGCCTTCAGCAGTGCAACTTTAAATAATCCTATTTCTCCTGTACTCCATTTAAATTTCTCCAGTCTGATGATGACTCCTTTACACATATTCTAATTTTAGAAAAGTCTGTTTTTTAAAGTCTAAAACTTTTGTTTTTGTGTGGTGTGACTCAGTCACTGTTCTTATATTAAACCACACTGACTGATGATCACTGGATCCTAAACTTTCACCTACAGTAATATCTGATACCAAATCTCCATTTGTTAACACTAAATCGAGTATGGCCTTTTTACGAGTTGGCTCCTCAACGACTTGTTTTAGAGACAATCCCAGTAGGGAGTTTAGAATATGTGTGCTCCTGGCACAAGCAGCTATTTTGGTCTTCCAGTTCACATCAGGAAGATTAAAGTCACCCATGATGATAACTTCCCACTTCATTTAGCTATTTCCTCAACTAGTAGATGATCTAACTCTTCTATTTGTCCTGGGTGCCTATAAATCACACCTACACGAGTTACTGTGTGATTACCAAATTCTTACATAACCCAAACGGACTCTATGTGTGCCTCACTAACTTTTATTAGGCTAGATTTTATGCTATCCTTCATATACAGGGCCACCTATCCCCCTTTCCTGCCTTCCCTGTCTTTTCTATATAAAGAGTACCCTGGTATTGCTTTATATAGGAAGCAACTCTAGTGGCCATTTGACTGATTGCCACTGGAGCTGTTACTAGGCAGCAATGTAAACTGCCTCCCCTCATTTGGCTTAAAGTCACCCAGACCAATTCATCACAATAAAGTGGTCTGAGTGCAGTTGTCTTGTAGTTTTAACCCTATATACGCCTTGAATTGGAACAGATCCCTGCAGTTGATGCCTCTAGAACGAGGTCACAGGAAGGGGAGAGGGAGAGGTAAGGAAATTCAAAATATGCAAACTGAAAAAAAAAACTCTAAGTCAGCTATTTTTTACATTCAGATACTCTGGCCTTAAGTTTGAATTTAACTTTAAGTTTTCACTTTAGTGAATAACCTTGATTGTGTTTAGAATTTAAACGATATAAAATAAAAATGTTCACAACATGTGTCAGTCAGTTTGTGTTTTCTTTAATACAGAGCCTCTGTGAAGTTCAATATTTAAGAAGAACATTCCATAAACGACATGTCAGAATCTTGAAACATTTAAGAAATTTACTTGAAATAACAAAGCTGAAAATATCTAATGTATGGATATTTTCAGCTATATATTTATATTCTGTTGCCAACTCACCATAATTTACTTTTTAGTAATGAAAGGCTTCAATTATCAGGCCCAATGCTCTGTGTTACTGGTTCTCCTCCACTAATTTTCTGCACATCATCGATTAGTTTGCATTTTTTTCTCCTCACGTGACTGATCTTAGAGAGACGTATTTTCTCTTAGATACAGAAATGAGTGACTGCTACATAAACAAAACTGACGCCTTCCTTCTAGGTTTTTGTACAGGCAGCTGATACAAATGAGTCAGTTTGGTGGACTTTCAGTAAAGGAACTAAGTAAGAAATCAAACGTAAGTACCTATTTACCAACTAAATACTGTATATTTTTATTAATCCCTGTTTGCTAGCTTTGTTTTGAGAGAATGCTAAAATTGTGTCTAATATTGAGCTTTTCTTTTACATGTCAACATCATTTTCTTTTAATGCACAAGACTATAAGATTGAGTCTAGAAGTATATAATATACAGTAAATCAAGGATCAACTGCTTGTTCAATGTGACAAAATATGTGACATATATATGTGGCCAAATTAGCTCATTTTATTTCCCATCAGTATAATAAGATTATAAATATTGTACCTACAACAAAGTTTAACAAGCATTCTGCCATTAAAATAGTTTGTTCACATTCACGAAATCTTTGGAAGCTATAATATGTATGTTATTTATCTTTCTGAAATAATGGTAGAAATTTGGTGCATTTGAAAGTCAATCTGTTTTGGCATGTATAGATATATTTTAGTGGGTAATTCGAAGCTAAATTGTAATTTGAAGTTACAGTCACTTTGATACCATCTAAATTACTAAATGAAATACAAATTCATAAATAAATTGGACCAATTAAATTAATAGCTCAGAATATAAAGCCTCTATAACTAAACTAAAAATTATATTTACTATAACACTTAAATCTTAGACTGGCACAATTTCAGAAATGGTGTTAAGGAACAGCAGAGCAAGGGAAATTCCTTATAATTATTTTTTTCTCATTCAGTAGGCAATATGTACATATAGTATGAGTTTAGTTCTCTCTCTATGTATATATTTATATCTGTATAAATTTATCTATAAATGTATCTATATGAATAGATACCGAATGCTAAAAACTAAGTATATGTAAATACACTGCAGTATTACAAAAGTATCCATTTCTTTCCTGTTTTGTATGTTCTTTTATATCAAACTAAATTGTGTCAAACAGTACACTGACATTTTGTGAGCAAGGAGTAGTAATATTGTAATATCACAGTTTCGGATTGCATAAATTCCAGCATGTTTCTCATCAAACATTAAAACATCTCCTTGATCAATCTGCTAGGTTAGGTGATTTTCCAAAAGATGATTCAATGCGTACTCCTTCATTACATCAGTATTTTACAAGCTAGTGATAACAAATGTAGAAATTAAAATAATAACAAAACAAAAAAATAGATAATAAATGTAATAACAAATGTATCTGGCACACTTAGACAACCAAGTTAGAAATAAAACGTAAGTACATCTAATTCAGTGTTGTATTCATCAAATATTTGACTTTTCCTTCTATTCTTTTGCTATTTTATTTAGTGTAACGTATTTTCTTCTTTCTCTGTTTGTATGTGCTTATTATGTGAATAAACTCTAAATTGTTTCCCGGTTAACTATATAACTCCTGGATCAATCCTAATTGTCAAGTGATTTTTAAATAGACTATTTATATTGTATTCTTTACTTCCATCAGTATTTTACAAATCTAGTACTAATAAATGTACCCGGCACATTTAGACAGTTAGGGTTTTTGTACTACGAGTAGATAGGAAGTAAGTGCTGTGGTACACTTTTGGTCGTGGAACCAAGGTAGAAATCAAACGTAAGTACATCTAATTCAATGTTCTATTCATCAAATATTTTAAATTTTCATCTGTTCTTTTGCTCTGTTTTCATTCGTTTTTTGCCTTTCTTTCTCTGTTTTTATGTGTTTTATATAAAACTCTTTTAAAGGCTCTTTAAAACTCTTGTAAAATGCATTGGCGTTTTATAAGGAAAAAATGATAATATTGTTTTTTATAGATTTAATTTTAAAGTCCATAAACTAGAACATTTACAGGCTTTAGGATTGCAGGTTTTTATATGACACGCACATAACAAGTAAGCAGTGTTGACCACTTTCAATAAAGGAATCAAGTTAGAAATTAAACGTAAGTACATCTTGAAGACTATTTTATCTGTTTAAATGTTTTCAGATGTAGTTTTTCTAATTTATTTGAAATAAAAATCAAGTATGTGTGGTTTATGCACTTACCTGAAGATCATGCAACTTACAAAAAAAAAAATTGCACTAAAATAGTTAAGTTAAATACTTTCTCATAAAAATCAAAAAGCATTTTTTTTTCATTTTTTACTATTTTAGCTTAAATTTTAAAAATCCATAATCAACGTGCCAAAGTAACTGATTGAATAAGCTCTAAAATATTTTACATTTAGCTATATCTCCTAGATCAATTTTTATTGTCAGGTGATTTTTGAATAGACTAATTCTTTTGCATTCTTTACTTTCATCACTATTTTACAAAGCTAGTAATAAAAAAAATATACCCGACTCATTTAGATAGTTAAGCTTTTTGTACTATGAGTATATACGGGAAATAAGGGCTGTGGGACACTTTTGGTTGAGGAACCAAGTTAGAAATAAAATGTAAGTACATCTAATTCAGTGTTCTCTTCATCAAATATTTGACTTTTTCTTCTATACCTTTGCTGTTTTAGTTAGTGTGATGTATTTTCTTATATCTCTGTTTTGTTTGTGCTTTTTATAAAACTCCATTACAATTACATTCTAAACTATCTAATTCAATTTTGTAACCCACAAGAAAAACAAGTGGATAGTGTATAGGCGCTTCGTGAATATAAAGATAAAAGTAGTGGTAGATATTAAAGTGTTTTCCCGAACACAAATAAAACGTGAATAATAAAGGCAAGATTTATATCAAACCACAAATAATGTAAACCAAAAAGTGAGATAGTGATAATAAATATATACAAAAATACAACAAATACAGGTTGTATTTTTGTATATATTTATTATCACTATCTCACTTTTTGGTTTACATTATTTGTGGTTTGATATAAATCTTGCCTTTATTATTCAATGTTGTAATCGTCAATATTTTTCTTTAATTTTTGTTCTTTTTTTTTTCTTTTTTTCTTTTTAGATACTGGTATTCATTTGAGTCCAAAATTCAATTTGACACGGACCAAATCTTACCTTATTTTATATATATTTTTTTATATATTGATTTCTTCTGTAGGATTTGTTAAATTACATTTGTTGCCTTTTTATAACTAAGGCCTCGATTTAATATTTTTGAACAAGTGTTTCAAATGATTTAATATTTTTGGATAAACTTTCAAAACGACTTAATACTTTGAAAAACAATGTAATATTTAAAAAATGTATACTATTTTTTTTATATTCATATATTTTGTGTTTTAATAATTGCTAAAAATCATTTAAAAAGTTTATTTAAAAATATTCAGGCATATGAAATGTGTATTAAAAAATTATTAAATTGAGACCTATATTAGAAAATCAGTTAGGGTGCTAAACAATGCTGTAGAGTATTTGTAAGGAAGTCTAACTGCAATGTGCCATAGTGGTTTGTCTTTGGAACGTGATCTAAAATGTGGATGAAAAAGTAAGTCGAATTAAAAGCAGTTTTACAAATAAGCACTTAAGTCCCAAAAAACATGTGAAATTCACTTGTCATAGCTTTATAATTGTGATTAAAAATGTGTGTGTGTATATATATATATATATATATATATATATACACACACATTTTAATTCTCGTTGTATATTTTAAAAATATACTTATATTTTAAATATACTTATTGTATATTTTAGAACACTAAAATGCAACTAAGAAAACAACTGATACAGGGAAAACTAAAGAAACAAATTATGTTATATAATATATTACTATCTTTTTAATAATTTAGATAAAAACAATTAGATAAGCCACAAATTAAATTTTATGTCCAGAAATGTCCAGCTGAAATGAATATAAATAGAGACTTTGCAGACTAGATTTCTCAAAGTAAATACTTAAGACAAGCTGTGAGTTTAACTTAATTTAAAAAAATATAAAATTGTTCATAAACCCAATACAATATACTTAATTTTTCAGGCTACTAACTTTAAAACTGTGCTTTAAAACTCCCATTTGTGCCAACTACATCAAAGGATTGCCACGGTTAAGAGCTCCCCATTGTTTAAAATACTATTCACGTAGTAGTTTAGCCCAAAATTTCAGTATTGAAATAAAATATCTTAATCAGATGAATGTAATATTTTACCCAGTCATTTAAAATGTATGTTAAATGTTGGTTATCAGCATTTATTAAAGAGTGATCTAGAAAATCCACATACGTTTATTAACAAAACTCACAGTTTAGTTAATAAACATATGTGTATTTGCTATATCAGTCTATCAGTAATAAATGCTTCACTGACTTGTTCTTCACTAGAACATTGCACACCTGCTATTCAGGTCATGCCTCACTAGCTATGAAATGAGAACCACTATATTCATTCTATTTCTAGAATCCCAGCTCTGTAACAAGCGTGTACAATTATCTTATTACTGTTATCCGTGGAGGGGATTTTCACAACTTGCTAAAACACACTAACCAGGTTTTCTAACTACACTTTGTTATTCTGCATAGGCTGTAGGACAGTTATGATGTTGGACCTTCTACAAGGCCAAACACAACATGGGAAATTGAGTCTAAAAAGATCTGAAGTCCTATGTTTAGCCATCATAACTGTAGAATGTACCACTTACACACAATAGGATTAAAAGGAAGGTTGGCTAATTGTAGTTTTATTGTTCATAACAGTCTTTGATAGTTTTCAGGTTGCGTTATCTATTACATCCTATGCTAACAATATAATTTAAAGTGTTTAGCTATATCTTAAATAATAGAGTCATAATCTTAGAAGTGCATCCACAGTCTTTAGATAATCAAAAAACAATATCCCACTACATAGTTTCAGAAATGAAATAATGAAACAAGTCTTTTTTGCAGCCTCTTACTCCCAGGCAACTCCTTAACTGTAACTTTCAAAATTTACAGCTGAAAGTATATATAATATCAAAGTATTCAATCTGAAAATGTAAATTTAACTAATTTTTATACACATCTTGGGTAATGCATGATCTTTAATAATAATAATTATTAATATTTATAAATCGCCAACAAATTCCACTGCGCAGTTTAATGGGTGGACTAACAGACACGTAAGTGTAACCAGACGAGTTGGACTTACTGAGAGGTTGAGGGCCCTGCTCAATCCGCTTACATGCTAAAGGGTCATTCAATAATGGTGGCTGAGCGCTACAGACTACAGATCACAGAAGCTAAGCCACATGTGTGAGCATTATAGAAACCATCATTCACAACATACAAAGTATAAAAATACCCATCAGTTATACTATAGTAGTTGTGCTAGTTAGCACTTTGTCCCAGAATTTTTAAGGGTTTTACTTTCATAGATGTGTCCGTTTGTCTCAGCATTATGGTTAGAGTTAGCTAATTCATTCAATGATTAAATAATTGAACTGAAAAAGTGCACAATTAAATGGGAAATAAATATAAATTATGCAACTTTCTGGGTGTCCAAAAAGAACATTTTTTTTTAATACTTTTAGGTTTATTTACTAAACAGAATTTGGAGAACTGAAAAAAATATCTTTCTTTTTACAAAATAAGCCATTTATGAAATTTCATTCTCATTTCTCAATAATTCTCAATTTAATAAACACATCGATTAGAGTCACACCATCCTTAAAATGTTTCATGCTTTTCATTGTTTTTATTTATTTGTTATCTGCCTCTTAGCTAATCAATGCTATATATATATTTGTTTACATTCCTTTACCATGCATAACCATATCCTAACTTTGTTTTGTCTTTTATTAATTTTATAGGAGCAAAGGATGCTAAACCATCAGTCTCTATATTCGGTCCCTCAGAGGAACAGATTGCAACAGGAAAAGCAAGCATTGTGTGCCTTGTCAGTGACTACTACCCAAGAGGTGCCAACGTGCAATGGAAGGTAGACAATCAGGCGAAGTCTTCAGAAGTGGCTACAAGTGATGAGACAGCAGATGATAAGAGCTTATACAGTAGAAGCAGCATTCTGAGTATATCTTCAAGTGAATGGAGTAGTCATGAAACGTTCACTTGTGAGATTACACATAAAACATTCTCAACACCACTGATCACAAGCTTCAAGAAATCAGAGTGCTAAATGTGATAGATTCGGAAAGTTAAATTCGTACGACTTATTTCTAGAAATTCATTTTATTTTCTTTCTTTTTGCTATTTAAATATCCACGTACATCATCATCTTTTCGCACTCAGTTCATGTACAATGTAAGACAGGTTGAGATTGTCGTGTAACAAGTTGCAGCAAACATTGTCACAGTTGTTCGCAATGTTCTATATTATTGTAAAGCTTTTGAAATTCAAGTCAAATATTTTTTTCATCTTTCTATCTATAGAGAAAATTAATAAAAAATATTCTGCTTCATATTTACATTTGTCTTTTCTCTTTAATTAAGTGGTAAAACAGAGAGGAAAACAGACATTAGTAGTAGTGGTTTAATATAAAGATAAAAAAGGAGTTGGATTATCCCAAGTTTATACCTCAAACAAACTAACATCGCTCTCAGATAGCTGCATGGGTTTACATATTCCAGAGTGTAAAAACAGACATAAAATATATGGTGTACATTATCCCGAACCCCAGTGTTGAAATACATAATGGAATTTTTAATACCACTATATGCCAATAAAATGTAAGCTTTTTCAGCCAACATCAAAACAAATCTTTTAAGTAAGGTCTGTGAAGACATGTTTTTAAAATCCTGCACATGTATACTGAATTGCATTCAGCCCAAAGGGAAATTTCTAATGACATAAAAAGGTTTTTTTTTAACTTTGCTGAGTAACTAACTCTAAACAGGGAACATGTGGGAGTTAGGCCATAGTACTGTAACGAGGCTACTTGATACATGAGCAACACAAAAACACTGCATCTTAGTCTCCCATCAGGCAGCTACAATTATTGCAAAAGTTGGTATGTTCCAATATACGGAATAAAATAATTTTTTTAGCTGTGCATTGACCCAAACTGAGATGTTTATGCAAAAAATAGAAACTTTTAGCACCACTATATGACCATAAAGTTTAAGTGTAAGCCCCTCTGCTAAACATCAAAGATAAATCTCGTAGGTAAACCCTCATTCCTTGGATTGTATTCAGGTTTGTCATGATGTTTGCAGGTAAGCTTAACCTGTATGGTAATGCTAAACCTGGAGTGTAAGACAGTGTGTTGCTATTTTGTTTTATTATTTTGTTCATCCGTGCATGTACATGCAACTAAAGCAAACTCAGCTCGTAGGACTACCATGCAACTTCAGGGGTACATTGAAAAAAAATAAAAACGAGAGAGCAATTTTAACACGCACTTATCAGTCATTTTCAGATTGCAACAAAAAATGGAAGAACGCTCCCCACCTGCCCAGCCTCCACTGGTTGCATGTGTAGTATTTTTTATCAAGTTCTTTCTGCATGAATGTTGGGGGGTTTATAGTACAATAATTTAGTTATAGTTTTTATGGGGTTTTTTGGCCTGTTTTATTGAGCTAAAGGTAAAGATTTCAAGGAAGATAAAATATACAATTTTTTAGTATTAGTATTATTACCATGGTATTAATTATTATTTAGATCTTAATTTTTATGTTTTGTTAGTTTATATCACCCCTTGGGCTTGGGCCCTCCAGCCTCCCATTCATTAAGACATTCCTCTTCATTGGTGTTTATTAATCTCCACCTCACTGCACATAAGGAACAGGAAAATGTGGGCAGTTGTTGAGCCCCTAGTAAATGAAGATCTATAAGGACCTTATAGTTGTCTTATTTTTGGAGGGGTGGGTCATATAATGAACCCTTGGCAGTGTTTAGAATCCCTATGTTTTGTTCTATACATGGAAATACAGTGTCAGAGTTTAGTTAATAATATGCAGATAGATGAATAACTTGTTCCAAAGCTATTTTATTTAGATTATTATGAAAGTCACAATTTCTTCCTTCAAGAAAATTTGCTTGTTTTTTAAAAACACTTTTTAAACACAGTTTCTAATTTTATAGTGATATAGTGATAAACATTATTTTGACATATTGGATAATCCATGGATAAAAGATGATTTTTTTTAAAAATTATTAAATAAAGCAATATTCACACATTAGCACAGATTTTAATTTGAATTTAAGAATTAAGAGACTTAATTAGACTTGTGCATTTAGTTTAAAATAAATCGCAATGCGTCTGAACTTTGGGCGATCAGCTGGTTGTCCGAATTCCTTAAAAGTGCCAGATGGATGTATAATGAAACAAACGAACCAGACAATGGATGAGCATGTTCGTTTGATTCGTGATCTGGAGTTCCTTCTGTGGCACCAAAAAAGAGATGATTGATTGGTTAGTGCACAGACACTAAATGATGATTTTATTCACAGATCAAGTGAGAAGTGACCATCAGAGGGGGGAAAAAGAGTGGTAAAAAATCTCTATATTTATTATTTATTTAATAAAACCATAATATATAAATATAGATTGTGTTTACTGCTCTTCCTTTTTTCCCTTTGTTGGGTATTTCTTCTCTCTTGATTTGGGAATCAAATGGTGGAAAAATGCTTTAAAACATTTTACATTGTGGCAGAACCAACCTCGCCACTAGGCACTGGAGAAGCCTGGTTGCTCACCTGCTGCCCTTAGACTATGGACCGGCAGTTAAAGCACTTTATTTTCCCTTCAGAAAGGCTTGTTTGTGCCTTTCTGTCAGGGCGTTCGGTAGATTCAATCTAAGAAGGCGCGACCATCGGGAAGCTGGCGTGTGCGGCCATTTGGCCTCCCTGAAGCTAGCATGTACCGTCAATTGACCACCCAGAAACTGTGGTGAACTGCAGCTTAATTGACTACACCGGGTGGTTGCGGTTACAAATAGCTAATGCACGGTGGTGGTATTCTGCAGCTCCCGGATGGCCAGCGGTGTTTAGCCCAGACTCAGTGAACTCAAAATGGACACTTTTACTTGCGAACACCGCTGAGCCGCCAGCCTTCCCTGCTTCTAGCTCTGGTCATTTAGCCGAATGCCGGATCAATCGGGACTTTAACTATGTGAATGCTTTAACCCAGATAGCTATGCCATGGAGCCTGTTCGTGTAATAAGGGACTTTGGCTCCATGGCAATTGAACTGTATGTGTGAGATCTGAACGCCATTCGGTAATAATGTGCGCTCAGATCTAAGCTATCTGGGGATATGTTACATGTGTGTATTTTATGTAATAAATGTAACATTGTATATTTTAATGTCTTTTATTGTCCTTTGTCTGCCATGTGGTTAATGGAGTCTTGCCTCTGTCTTTGGAGATAATTGGATTCCTTCCCAATTATCTCCAAGATAGAGAGGAGGTATTACAATGTATTGTGGGAATGTTTTTACACTGTATGTCTGTAATTGGTCAGTGTCTGTCCTGTATCCCAGTCTTCCATCTGGTCCCCTAGGGGAGTGTCCACCAGGTGGGAGACCTGCATAAAAGCCAGGCAGGTAGCCCCAGTAAACCAGTTCTGCTTGACGCTCCAACAAAGTGTCATCTCGTTCTTGGGGGGAATTGGATTGTATGCTGTTACAATGCGACTGCCAGGAGTGTAAGCTGCTCGTTTGGTTTTTCCTGTTCGGCTGTTTAACAGCCTTTGTGTGTTTCCTGTTCGGGAGTTGGAGGATTCGTATGGTTCCAGTTCGGGAGTTGGATAATTTGTGTGTTTGCAGTTCGGGCGATTGGTGATTACAGTAGCTGCCTATGCATCTGAAAGGGGAATATCGCCTGTTACAGCTCTCCCGGCATAAAGGGGTTAAACCGCCATTTAGTAGAGTTTCCCTTTTGTGGTAGTACAGGTACAGCTACTGTAGAATCCCAAACTCCTGAAATGGAACCAGGGAATGCACACAAACTCCCGAACAGTATACCCAGTAGTACTCCAAACTCCTGAACAGTAATCTCACTGCTAACAGACGAACACACACAGCATCCAATTGGCTTACATTCCCAGCAATCAGTCTCTAACCACGTACAGTAAATCCCCCCAATCACGAGACCAAGCTCCCTATTGAGGGTTAAACAGGATTCTGGTTTATTGAGGGCTACCTGCCCGGTATTTATGCAGGTCCCCCACCTGGTGGACACTTCCCTAGGGGACCAGATGGAAGACTGTAACACAGACAGACATGTATCACATTCAGACACACAGAAGTAAAACATCCCCATAATGCATCCTAATTTCCCTCCCTCTATCCTGGAGATAATTTGGAAGTAATCCAATTATCTCCTAGGACAGAGGGAAATCACCATTATACATGTGGGGACACAGAGACAGTAAAATACATTAAAACATATACTATTACATTTATTACACCAAATCCATACATGTCACATATCTCCAGATAGCTTAGATCTGGCTGTCCGGGGAGCTCCATAACACCGCCACCGACAGTAACAGTCAATTAAGCTGCGGTTAACCGCAGCTACTGGGTGGTCAATTGACGGCACACGCTTGCTGCAGGGAGATCAATTGGAGGCACACGCAAGCTTCTCGGTGGTCGCGGCTTCATGCGGCTTTCGGTAGTTTAACAGGGGAACACATAGGGACTGTACAGGCAGAGAAATAAACCGAACAAACAGACGAATGGAGGGAAAATAAATGTAATCAATATACAGACAGTTCTGTTACATCGCCTAAACGGTTTTTAACCTCTTGTGTGCAAAACGGTCCATTACATACATATAAATACTATTTGTAATATGTATTTTTGTACCCTTTTTGTTGTCCAAATTGTTTTCTCCAAATCATTTGCATTGAGAACAATCAAATGCGCTGAACTGCCACAATGACGAATTTTGGCCTAGCTGAACATTTTTATTTATTTTTTTTATTTTTTTTGTACGAATTGTACTATATAGGAATGTTAAAAAAAATTACATTTTTCTCTCCCTCTCACATAAAAAAGCAAGACAAAAAAAAAAGAAAGTTCCCAGCTGAATGAATAGGTTAGTATTACATGGTACAATTTTCACTCACTTGGTACCAAATGGGCCATGGAACGATTTCCTTTATTCCACTCTAGGTGATACTTTGACCCTGCTGATCCTTTCTCAAGCCCAACACATCAAATAACCCTGACACTATTAAAAGATATAATGAACCATGTGGCAGGAAATCAATAACATGCTAATTAGCATGTGTCATAATGATTTTTAATACACAAACAATACAAATCTTCTGGGGTCTGTGTTTCTTCCATGCCAGTTAACCCAAAGTCTCACTGTTCACAGCAGGAAAATTAGGTGATAATGCTCCAATTTGGACAATCCTAAACAGCACCCCATATTTCATTTGAGGTTACATAAAGTAGCATTACATGCCAGATGTAAACAAG